TTCAAAGCAGCTGCTTTGCTGAGGAATTAAAGGAAGCTGGGGGGAATAAATGTAAACAGGGGACTGCCTGGGTAGCACAGAGGCTCTCTCACCATAGCTGGGAGAATGGGGATCTACTTCCTCGGGACGTGGAGAGAGGCCTGTGTGGGCAGCACCTCCAGTTAAGTGAAATTTAAAAGATATGCTTCAGCTGCTCTATGATTTAGGTGCCAAATCCGCACAGATAATTATGCACATCTATTTCATGGTTTCATTTTTGTAGGTTATCTCCTCTTCTCATTTATGGTACTTTTTGGAGCTTTCATTTTCCAATCAGGGCAGGAGGTAGACTTTGCTCTTTTTGAGGTAATAATTATTTAATATCTGAGAAGTTTTATGGGTTCCAGAAATGTTAACATTTTAGTTCTACACCCCAAATGGAGCTTACCTGATTAAGAAAAAAAGGTAGACCATGCTATAAGGTTGCCTAACTTTAAAATTTCAGAACTTTGGGGCGCCTGGGTGGCCTCAGTCAATTGAGCATCTGACTCTTGATTTCTGCTAAGGTCATGATCTCATGGTTTCTGAGTGTGAGCCCAGCATCGGGCTCCACACTGACAGCACGGAGCCTGCTTGGGATTCATTCTCTCTCTCTCTCTCTCTCTCTCTCTCTCTCTCTGCCCCTCTCACACTCTCTCTCAAAGTAAGCTTTGAAAAAAAAAGTTCAGAACTTTGAAAACTTGGCATCCAAAGAGTTTTATGAATTTTTTAAAGTATACGAATCCTATACTATATTGTTACTCTAGCACTGTATGGTAAAGCAGCATTATTACTTCCCTGAGTCACTAACATGGTGTATTCTAATCACAGATGAAACTTGAAAACATCTCTTATTAATCCTCCTCTAACCTTCTTCCTCTGCATGTAAATAGATCTTTGATCTTAGGTACTGAAACATCATTTTTTGCTAAATTCCTTAACCACATCGGTCTTAAATTCTTAAATGTCACTCAAATTGAGCCATCTAATACTTCTCATATTGTCATATTTCTGTCTCCTATCACTTTCCAGATAGCGATTATACACATCAGTATCAGAATGTATAGAACACCCTGTCTCTGTCTACTGCACTAACTATTAAGTAACAGAAACTATGAAAAGAAAATCTAAAAGGAAGCATCTTGAATGTAGGTAAGCTGTGGAGTAAGAACCTACTTTACTTACAACAATCGTATTCATTATATTATATATGATTATTAATTGTATTGTATATCAAGGAAAACACGCTATCCAGGCAATACAAGAAGATGACAAATACCAGTACAAAGCAAAGGCTTAGGAGCAAACAGATCAGGTCTGAAGACTGACTAGATAGAAGATGCGAAGTCACTTGCTCAACCTCCCCAAGCCCACATTCCTCTTCTGTCAAAAGGAACATCCACAGTACCACTCTCACAGATGGAGACAGGGGAGATAAAGCATGTATTTTTTTTTTTTTTTCATCAGCAACAGTATTATGCCTCAAATCTTTTCTGGCTCTTCAACCTTCTATACATCTTAGTTAGCAACACTGATGGCACCTGATATTCGACCTATTGTATTATTTCCTTAAGGATGGCCAGTAACTTGGGGTGCCTGGGTGGCTCAGTCAGTTAAGCATTTGACTCTTGATTTCCGTTCAGTTCATGATCTCACAGTTCATGGGTTCAAGCCCTGTGTCGGGCTCCTTGCCAACGGTGCAGAGCCTGCTTGGGATTCTGTCTGCCGTTCAGTCTGCCCCTCCCCTCTTCGTGCACACGGTTTCTCATGTGTACACGCTTTCTCGCTCAAAATGAATAAACTTAAAAAAAAAAAAAAGATGGCCAGAACTTTCCCACCCTCCTCTCTGTTTTAATCCAT